TAATTAAACTGTAACAATAATCTGGAGATTGACGGATGAGAGGTGTTTCGATGTTTGCTTAAACAGTAAATGTTGAATTTATAATATATTTATAACCAGTTCCCAAAACCTTAACTATTTCATAAAAAGATCTTTTGCAGTTAAATTTCTAGTTGACATTGAATTCAACAATAATCTACAACTTATTTGATTTCATTTATGCATTTCCATCATATTAGCTTACCTGTACACTGACCTAAATTTCACAAAATTCTTGTTAATGTGTCCAAAAATTTAATGTTCAGGAAAGTTTCCCACCAAAAGCGATATATATATATATTGCCATTGGCATTTCCGTAACTGGGCTTTTATCCGCTTTTTAAATTTATTTTAACCACTGACTGAATTTACATCGACGAAAATTAACAGTGAATAAATACATGAATGGGTTACGCTTATCTGATTTGAATAAATGAAATAAATGAATTCATATAAGTGTGCTGAAATTTCTGTTCACAGTCTGTTTCAGATTGTGACCTAGTTTATTGAGTTATACATCAACTGGTGAAATAATTTTTTACTTAAATATGGTCTTCATTTTAACGCTGATTCAAGGTGCATTGTTATGGGCCAAACTACTATTAAAATCTATAAAGAAGGTGCTTCAGTGACTCAATAGTTATCAAGAGAGATAAAATTCGGAGAAAGTCACGTAAATGTATGTGTTAGTTGACGAAGAGAAAACAGTTGAAAAAACACGTACAATGAAACACATACCGTATTTAATATCAGCAGCCTGATAAGAATTTACTGTGAGAAAAGATACTGAGATGCCTAAGATAGAAATGAGTACAAACAACGAATGGATGGTAACCAATAAAACGTTCGAGAACTTGACAACGACACGGAATCAGTAACTAAGCACAACTCAGTATTTGTAACCCAAATCACTTTGAGTTTCACATAACCGTTTTGTAAGGCCATTAATAAATCAGTAAACGTGACTCGTACTCTCTAACCAAGCTAAAATAGACAGTAATAACATTGTCACTTGACAAACTATCTTGACCCATTAACCTTCAACTTTTTCAGATTTGATCTTTCTAAAGATGTCCAAACTTCAGCTGTGAAGTGCGCTAGATGACACTTTAATGGAGAAGTGATATTTTCAACCAACTTTTAGGTGGAATTCATCTCATGATATATATAAGAAGAATTTATTTCCGAACTGTTGTTTGATTTGTATCTGTAGGGAAATTGCAATATTTTCCTGTCAGTTTTTAATAACTGCAGTAAACAAAAGTTGTAAATAAAATTTAATATTTTACTGATGGAATTGTGGGCTAAACAGAAAACTATTCACTAGCATGTCGATTCTTCGTATAATGCAATGGATTTATTCTCTGTGCATGAAGTTCAACCATTTGACCTGTTTATTATTCCTTCTGTGCATTCATACATATTCTGCACGTCTTACATTTATTCACACTAGAGAAGTACTCTAACTAAAAATACTCTACATCAGTATTTTGTTACCTCATACACGAGAATGCATCATGGTGTGCAGAAATCTGTAAAGCAGACATAGGAGAACTATTCAGGTAAAGGATGAAGCAGACAATGGCTTCATAAATACTTATCGAATGAAGTTGAACACACCTTAGTTACTCAGAACAGGAGATTCTCCTCCTTACTTGAAAAACGCTTCTCTTTAATAAAATCTTATCACAGCTATTCATATATACTGTAATCTTGTTAAACGTACTGTAGAAACTATCTAAAGTAGGGCTGGATAGAAGACCGATGAAGAAGACACGATTTTCTTTTTCCACGGTGTCATTAGGAGACAAATGATTTCTGCCACAATCAGACTCATACCTACTCAGAGACTAACTTTTCTTTGATATCCTCCAAAAAAAAATTAAAAGCATCATACTTTCTAGTTTTTTTTAAATGTTGTTTTTGAAAATATTCTTATATGATAAACATCTACATGATCAATTACATCAATCATTGTGGAAGGTTCCGTTTAAAACATGGCTTAATTGCTCAATCTAAATTACGAATGTTTAGATAGATGCAAATCAACAGCCATTTTCGTGTTTCCTCTCTTGATTACCTGCCTGATCAAAGTGAGGGTTAAGACATTCACTGGTTCCTCAAACATAGGTAAATGAATAATATATGAAACTACTAGCTATCAGGTTCAATGGGAAACTGCAAACCCAGTGAGCCATTGTTTCCTTTCAGTATTTATGATCTTTTGAAAGTTATTGTGATCATATTTTTTGATGAAAAATGAATTATTATTTCCTGTACCTGATAGATTCTTCAGTTCCCGTAAATATTGATCCACTGTTAAGTCAAACATTAAGTCCAAGTTATATATATTGTGACTGAAATTAGCGTGACATATCTTATGAATGGTTATGTCATTTGAATAGGCGGATGGAAAAACAGTTTAAAACTTCTTTACAATAAAAAAATAAGGGAAAGTGAAAATTGATACCTGACACTACTGTTTGGAAGATGAACGAAATAAATACATCTCAGCCGCACACACACACCTACCTTATGTTAAACATAGCAAAAGTCTAGATTAGAGAGAATGAAATACTGACTAAACTCGTAAATATGTATACATATTGGGAATATAAGCTAACTTAATGAAACTAAAATTCTAAATATAACAAGTCAATGATATACTGTAAAAAATCCTACAAAAAGAAAAATATTATGAAGAACTGCGAAATATTTTCAAAACACGCATCACCACTCGATAGTGAATTTTAAAATGATTCATAATAAAACATCATAAATTAAAATCGAACAGAAACGCTTTATAGTATATTTGAACAACTAAAACTTTGACATAGACCTCGGTATGACATGAAAATTGTCTTGGGCAATAAATACCATTACCTTTAGTGTTTAGAGTAGCTCCAACTGTCCACATCAAAATCAAATAGTCATACCCTTTTGAATGGTAAAGTGCTGGTCACGGAACCTGGACGTCCAGGGTTCGATTCCTGGTGCGGTGATGGGTGCATACTACTGAGAAGTCCTATATGAGGACGAAACGGATGTCCATTGCCCTCTGGTTTCCATTGTTTCATCAGCTGGTGTCAGTTCATGATGAATACCAAAACCAATAAACAAACTACTACAAACGAACACAATTTACTTATGGATTCGCCAAATGAGTAACCTTATTTCAAGTAAAACGGATAGAACACTAACTGAGTTGTTGGAAACGTTGTGTTGGTTTTGTACAATTTCCCATGATAGGTTTATGTCTATTACCTTCTTACACATAAAATTATTCAGTTGAAATAGGGATTTCTGTTTTATAACAATTAAGATGATACTGAAAGGTAAGCATGTGCATAGTTTTAGCAGAATGTGATCGAATACGAATGTTTGTAAAGACTTGAAAATGCATTCAAACGTCCTGATTCACATTTCCATGTATGATATACATATATATATGTACTAAATAACTTCTTATCTTTATACAAACTACATGGATATAAAATAGAACAGGTATTGAGAAAGAAAATGAAGGAAATTTCGGAAGAAATCGCATGAGAAAAGAAACATAATTAACCATTGAACAACAAATAGTAAGCAATATCTTGCCTTGGCAGAATACCTCTCTGATGGCGAAAATATTTATGTATAAGAAATCAATTCGAATAAAAACCTAGGCTGTTTTGGCATTTGAACAATCAATGGCAAAATATCTGGTTAGGCAGTGGATTAACTAAGTTACCTAAAATAATAGCATTTCCTAAAAATTAGCCACATTGCTAAAATATAAAGTATATGATATGAATAACACAGAAAACAAATCAGCTGACGAGTCAAAAAGGAGGGCGAAATTTTCATCTCCAAAACACACGGTTTAAAAATGGCTGTCATATATGTTCATCTTGAATAACATTATATAAATAAAAGAATCTAAACATGCATTCCTTCAGTGATATGAAATAATAAAAAGTTAGCCAGGGAATTTTTTTCAGAGCAGAAATGTTTGAACCTGTGTGATTGACTTTCGGCTGAATCATTTTAGGCGGATGACCTTTCATTCTTAACATTTTACGTAAGCTCAATCATGAAGCATGAACTTCTCTAAGTCACTGACACCAAGAGTCAGAAACTTTATGGAGTACTGTTGAATCTTTGTCTCGCTGGAATTGATCAGAAGCATTGTTTTTCATAGGCGATAGATTCGGTTAGTTACAGGATAAGTGATATAAACTCAGCATCTTAAGAGGATGTTTTTTGCTTTAGTAGAGAATTCCTTTTCGAAGATAACGGATTATCAGCGATTTGAAAAGGTTGACTACATTTGAACGATAATTTAGCATTCCCTAACTATTTTTCCTAATTAGTAATGAGTAATAAAAACCACTATCAATGCTACCAATACTTCAAAAGAATATTTTCAATAAGTTTTATGATTTTTCTTCAGATTTAAAAACTTACAGAATTTAGGCGAAATTGATAATTTTAATAAGCAACACTACTATTTCTACCTACATATATTCGTTCAGTTGAAGATATTTTAAATCATGGTCTGACAACCGCTGAAGATGTATTTAAAGCAAAGAAATATCATTTTTTACTTTATAAGCTTAGATCTAGACAGGTTTATCTCGGTCACGCGAACTCTCTTCGTTCTACCTGCCTCAAACACTTCACAAAACATCACAGCTGGCATGAAACCATAGATAACATTGCTCATGGATAAACAGTCTGTATATTTAGTGTAATGCTTACATGACTCCTACAGATTAATAAAGATGTCGACATATACTGTAAATGTTATTCACTCATTTCTTACAGCAGTGCGTAAAATAATAACGACAGAAAAGTGATCTTCGGGTTCTGTGATATTGATCAGTTTATTGCTGATTATCAGGTTTCAAAGAGAAAAAATATAGGCTGTGACTGAACTATTTGCAAAACAGTAACCTTATAATAAAATTGTTAACAATGAAAAAATACTAGTAGCTTACTTTTACACAACAAATAGAATTCGTATTCCGATTATGGCATTTATGTACAACTGAGAATGAACCTTTACCAATTTCCTCGAGTAAAGTATAATCCATTGAAAACGGTTTAATCTTTACACCCGGTAAACCCGCCAACCGCAGAAAACGTTTTGCTACTGAAGGCGTTAAAGGTGGTAGGTCTTCTGGAATGTATGCCGCATTTATACGGTCTATAAATTGAACGCAGAAAAGGGACAATCGAAAAATGAAAGCAACGAGATTTCATAGAAAACTTGAAAAGGTTCAAAAGGCTTCTTTAGAAAGTCATTGCTTCGAAGACCATATTAAAAGAAACAATAATTTATTTCATTTTCAATACATCGACTAATGTATTAACAGAAAACAAATACGGATTTAGTTATAGACAATGCAAACCATCTTTTACACAAAAATTTCACGATTAAATAAAAGATAACACTAAATAAGAATGTTTTGTAATCCTTCTCTTATGACAATCAAAGAACAAAACACAGAGCGTAGTATGCATCAAGAGATAAGATGGATGAACTACTCTGATTTATATTATTATTACTCTGGTTTATATTCTGTAGTGCATACAACAATTAAATAATTATCAGGCTTAAAAAATGGACACAATTCGTAAACAGACTAAAAATATAACTTCTTTTCAAATATATATTGCAGGCTGTTTCCTACTTTGGCTAAAAGTGTTTTGTGTAGATTAAAGATTTAAGTACAGCCACTTGGAAACAAACTGGATACATCAACACTGTCCAGTGGATTGGTCAAACCAAAACTATTTCAAAAGATGTACAATCACTTTATATATATATATATATATATATATATATATATATAAATATTAAAAATCACAGACTAGACATGGAAGCGGAGACTAGAATAAATAACAATTAATCCACTAGTAAATCAATTCTCTAAACTTCTGTAAGTCTTCAGTATCATAATCAATCCTGTTCATCTGTCTCATTCTGGATTGATAAATGTGAAAATTTTACCTAGTATGTTTCTGTATGATAACAAAAATTGTAAATCTTAGAAACGAAGTTTTTACTCTACAGAAACAATAATAGTCAAAAAATCATGACAACAAATTTATAATTCATTGTATTTAGTCTGTAAACACTAATCATTTAATGCATTTCAAATTTCATGCTGTCACCTAACCTGTCATTATTTTCCTGAATCTTTCAGTGGTGTTCGTTCAATATAACTGTATATTTTCGACGACAGAAATACATTTAGATCTTGTATACACATCATATTGATTTGTGATAATAATCCTGTCAATAGTATACTTTAGGTATATCAATAAAAAGAAGTGAATTGATTATCTCATCAGGCTAAAATTTTCCTTTAGTGTACTAGTAGAATGAAAATTTATGATGAATAGAAAATGGTTTCACCAAAAACAAATTTATTTATGTCGGCTGCAGGTGTTTGCATGTAAGCAGGTATGCTTGGCTTAACTGTTGGGAAAAGAGAAGCATATAATATGTACACATAGATACGTAGATACATATCTATATGCATAAGCCCACTGATAAATTCATACCATATTCATTTATTTGTTAGTCAGTAAGTGTGCACATATGATGAGAAAGAATAACCATTGTCAAGATTTTTCTTCTTATAGATTTTCTTTTCAAGTCATCAACAAACAAAAATTGAAATTCGAAAATAAACTACTATCCTACAATAGACATACCATCATCACGTCTAGAAATATGATTATTACTATTGTTCACAGTTTTTTCTTCATTTGAATTTAAGTGACCAACATTTGTTCCATTTAACAATTCATTACTGACGGTACTGCTTAAATGGTTGTTATTACCTGTTGTTACAGTATTGGCATCTTGTTCTGTAAAAAATTCTGGTGCTACATAACTGAATTCACGAAATAAAGCATGTGCTGATGCACTGGCCGGAGGGCATGGAGAATCTGAAAAATGGCGTAAAAAAAGACTATAATATAACCACTAGTTATTTTTTCAGAAATGATGATTAGTACTGAAATATAATACTTCAATGATAGAATATGCATCCGATGCTCAAACCACTAATTTATAAAATTTTACTGTTAATTAGATATAAGTCTCCTAATGTTGACAGAGATAGATAGACAGACAGGCAGATATGTGGATAGACAGAAAGATAAAGAGTTGCTAACAGAGTATCAGAGCTGAACAATTCGGACAGTTTTGTTTTTATACCAACAGACAAGTGTGAAAACGGAAAGATTAGTATCCAGGCTGTCTCCATTAATATAATGAGAAAATTGAAGTACTTATGCGAAATAACGGAGAGAAATGGGAGAAATTCATATTTTTCGATGAAATTCTTGGGCACGATATCAGCCTACTCCAAATGTTTGTATTATGCATTCGAAATAAGTTATGATTGTGAAGGTATGACTGTGAATAAGATTAAATCTCATTGTTAACTTCAGTCTGTCGGTTATTTATTAGCAGTCAGATTACTCCGCTACCTTAAAATCGAAGGAAACTTATGAAGTAACATCTGCTGTGTATACTGGGTCACTGCCTACCTCGACAAGCAATACTAGGAGGAGTCGAACTAATTTTGAAGAGGATTCAGGGTGGCCAGACTAAGAAGTACAACCGGTCCATGAAGTGGCTGATCGTTGACCTGAGCCGTGGGAAGAGTTGTTGACTATCTTGCTCCGGTTGCCGAGACGATAGGAATCAGTAGTTGGTGATATGGCTGAAAATCAGTTACAGTGGCGCAGATGTATTTACTCCTTGACATCTAAAGCTTGAATATTTGCACTAACTGTTATCTTTAAACTGTCTATTGTGTCACATAACTTGATCTACTTTGATATCACTGCTTCTCTATCTACGTGTTCCTTGTGTACTAAGAAATTCGACAACTTGAACTAATGCACTTGTGTGTGAGGTTCTACGTTGACTTTGTCTTTCCATCTGTCTTACATAATAGACTTTCAGGTATCGATTAACACATGGATTGATTACTTGAACGCTACATTAGTTTATCAGTTCAAGCTGATGTTCTTCTAGAGGAAGTAGCCAGGTAAAAATTGAAACAAATAAAGTGAAAATCATTAGAAACAATATAGAAAAAGGTGAAAAAAAATTAGAATCAAGACTGAACAGAATCAAACCATATAAAAATACCACGACGAAATAAATATCAATACATCCATTGGTATGAACTAAATGCTAACCTCTTTTAACCAGTGAATACGAACGTTCAGATAAACCCGGTTGCAAGACCTTCATCCCTCTGCCCACCTAATGCCAACATTTAGACTGTACACCTTAAGACTATGTAGAGAACTAATTTCTATGACAATCGTTTTTATTCCAAGCCTGCTGTAACCGATTTTAAACGCCAAGGTAGTCAGTGATTTAGAATTCTTCAAATTTATACATCACTTTAATTTATATAGGCTGAAGCATTTTTCTAACTACTTTACTTCCTACTATGAACATATAGAAACAAAAATATTCTCATGAAGATTTCTGTATAGGCAATCAATGCTGAGTATTTTTGCTGATAAGTAAACAAGCCTTTTAATTTATAACTAACTGTCAAGTTTTACAGAAGTTTCGCAAACTAAAACTATATTCAAAGTGTAGAATATTCATTGAAGACTAAAATCTGTTTGTCGCCACCTACTTCAAACACTTGGTATAGTAGAAAAAAATGTAGTACAAGTTGCAATATTCGATAACACTTGGAACATTATTATTTGAATATTACTCAGTTATTCTAGTGAGGGAATTATTCATTATTCTTATCCTTAATTTAAACTTACATGAAAATATAAGTTACTTGTTGAGATTTTCAAACTGTGTTACAATAATCAAATAATGAAGCTATGTTGATGCATTTTCGTAAAGCAGCTTCATACTATTCTAGTTGGCCACCCATGTAGCTGTCTAGCTCTTAGCGCTTAGCATTCATCAAGGTCCATCAATCAATTTCTGCAATGTAGCCACTAGGTAAAGTAACGCAGCACTATGGTGCACCAAAACCTCAAATTAATTACTATTTGGTTTAAAACAAAGCAAGTTAATGCAGTACTAGTGTTCTATACTGTACAATGAATGACCGTTACACTATGTCTCTTAAATCACTATTAAGCAGAGTCAAAAGTGGATTTCCTTTACATTAAACTCTTCATCCTTAAACAGTCAATAACAAATACGGTGTCATAAAGATAGGTAAACTTGCCCTATATAATTGCACAGCTTAGTGTTAGGTATACATTCACAGTTTAACTAGTGTGTATTTCATATTAATTTTAAATAATTCGTTCATGAAAGGAGGGAATGGCAAGGTCAAACCTTTTTGAAGAGAAAAAACACTCTGGTACATTTTCTTCTTCAGAATCCTATTACGAAGCTGGTTGGTTAATTCTCAGAGGAAATTTAAATTAATTATTACTTCAATACTTATGGAAATCAAACGATTAAAATATTTCATATTCAGGAAGTAAAATTCTTGCACTAAACAGTACAGACCAAATATAGTCTATGAGCAAACCGAATTCTTACAAGTGGTCATTAAAAAATATATTGTCAAATGATTCAAAATAGAAAACGTAGTCATATCTAATAAGCCTATAACTGCTACGTTTTGTATAAAGAAGTATATCGGTTATCAGACTAGCCACCGAAACCGGGGCAAGTTCAGTTACATTTAAGATACACGTCATAAAAGCAAAACACTCATTACTGTATAGCTATTTGTAGACACTGTCATGATATCATTAGCCAACAAGTTCACTGGCTACTGAAGGTATTAATTTCAGTAGCGTGTTTTAAGGTGAATGGGGATTTTACTTTTGCAGTAGTATTCAACACAGACTGATATTGGTTGAAGAATGATTGAAAAACTGAGACCACAGGAAGAATATTTCGTCCTATGATGGGACTCCCCAGCAGTATGCACCTACGACCCGGCTAGGGATCTAACTCCGAATCTTGAGGTTTAATGGTAAACTCTTAAGCCGTTCAGCCACTGGCTAGGAGTTCATTGGTTCACATTTTCCAACTTGCTTCAAAATATACTACTGTATAGTGATCATTAGTGACACGCTTTCAGATGGATATCACGAAATCCTGATGAGACGCCATGACCTGTGGGGTAAACCAGTCGGAAGAGGGGAGGATGGCAACTGAAAACCTTGGGTGATAGTCACGCAATGTTGCGAATTGATAGAAGTTAGAAACTGTGAACCATTGAACTCCAAGCTACACTGCTGGGGAATGCCATCCTAGAACGAAACAGCTGCCTAGTGGTCCCAGGTTTTCAATGGTCAACCAAATGATATCAGTCCATCATGAATACTACCTCGGTATTAATTTCAATTTTACCCAAAAACCATTAATTAATGATAAAGCATATGTGTACAGTCAGGCATGTCATGCAAACTAGACTAAATAAAGTTCACGAAAATGTGAACCTACTAAAAACCACACCCCTTAATCAGAGTATCCATTATACTATGCACTACAACAAAATCCTATACTAATGCTTCATTTTTCAAAAGCTGGTATCTGTTAATTTAAACAAGACTTCAGGTGTTTGAAGATAAACACATCCTACCTCTTTTTCGAATTTTATAAGTTTAGACGAAAGTACACAGGAGCAATGTCCTATTGGTCAAGGTACTCAACCTTCTACCGGTTGGTTATGGGTTCAAGTCGCCTTTCATCTATCAGTGTGTCCCCGAGCCACATGGTACCATGAGCTGTCACACAATATGCGTGGATTATAGCCCACAACAAGAACTGTACATGTGGTTACCAAGATGCATTTCAACCTTTCATTTCGAGAACAAAGAACAGTAACCATTTTATTACAAGGACAAAAAATTCATTGCAATGAACTTTCAATACCTAACTAGGGCCTTAAAACTAAGACATGCAACAACTAGGTATAACTGAAACAGCTGAACTGGTATTGGTCAGTTATTCATCGCATAACATTTTCGAACACAGATATATATTAACGCCTGAAGTTCACTCTACTTCTTGACCAATAAACAGAATTCAGTTTTACTGACCGAGCAGATTTTTGGCAGTGCATACCTGGAGATGTGACAAAAACGTGTATAGTGCCGATATAGGCTGGATAAAGACTTATGAAAAAGCCCCATCTGAAAAGGTAAAAGCTGATACTATGAGAGTGGGACTTGGACACTGTGGCAAACTTTAATTTCATTTTAGTTGATGTATTAGACGTATTGCACAATGGAACAGTATTATTTACTGGATTACATTTTGGACAAAATTTATTGTTCATTCATACCTTGATACGACCATGGAGATCTTGATTTTATTATTCCTGCTTGATTTCTCTATAGACCAATTTATAAAGCCAACTCCATCGAAATGCAACTTAGGAATCAAATTAACGCAGCTTTACAAATGTTTGTGACCTCTGACAAGTAAATCCTATTTCTAGCCTTCATGTGGTGAGTGTTTTCACAAATGTAATGAGGCGAAGACGAATGTCTAGCGCTTAACCACCCAGATTCATGGACTATACGATTCACGCAGGGAGACGGAAAACCTGGACTCTTAAAAACAGAACATAAGATTCAGAGCAAACGAATGGCGTCCTGACCTATTTTTCTCATTGGTAACCTTGAGAATCCAGTACCTCGTTTAGATCTACTACCAAGTGGATAGGACATCAGTTTAACAGCTTGGAAATGATCCCTTTAAGAAACGATTTGCTTCCGTTTGAGGGTTCTGGGAGCGTCAGAGACTTCATAAAAACTACAGATTAATATCTACATCGAAAACTAGGAAGTATTCACCAAGTCAAATTCCTTGTCAAACAAACTTTCTGCTCAATCACTTCATTTATGCCCCTTCTAGGTTTTAATTTCAAATAAACTTTCCTTCCTGACTATTTTCAGATTTACCTTTGTGTGAATCTTTGACTAACTCAAGTTTCTGTTACTGAATCCAATCTTGGTTGAATACGGCATCTGAAGTCGCTAAACATTCGCTACTGCACTTGTGTACTTCAGTTAGATACCTGACTATAGTTTTAAAAGTACACAAAATTTTAGAGTTAACCACCTTTACTGTCCACACTACAGGCAGGTCTAGTTAGGGTTCTAAAAATCCTCGTTAATAATGAACACTGAATTTCAGGGACTTGCATTCTACATTCCAGTGAAGTTCCAGAATAAACTCCCATCTGTCAGTTATTTCTAGTGTGCTTACCCAGGGCCTCTGTGAGGACAGTAGTCACTCCTTGTGGTATTAGTTAACTCTCATCCCCCTCCATATATAGCCTTATTGTAAAAGGTCACGTGCACAGCGTGTTGGAGCAGGCAGTTCTGTTCTGCACCTGTGAAACACGGCCTCTCCTAGCTGAGTATGTCTAACGACTCAGCCTGTTTTACCACCGCTGACTCTGCAGGGTTGTTAGCATCTGATTGGCGCACCATGAAAGCAATTCTGAGGTGAAATGATGAGTGTTTGGTGGCGATGGAAAGTCTCCAAACACTGACTGAATTTAACTTAAAACATCGGCTTTTAAGCCTTGAAATCGTTCAACAAATGTATTTACAGTGGCCCTATACCAGTAACCGTTGGCTAACCCTTCGTCTGGCTAGAAAAAGCTAAGAGGTGGTTAGTATACAATGTGGTTCCATCGGATGGAGGATAATTTAGTCAAACTGGAATCTTCTGGTGGCTCATAACTCATTGGGTGGGCCTGGGAGATGTTATAACTCAGTGGATTATGATGATACCAAGCATGGCTCAGTAACGAGATCAGTGACCATCATGTCCTAGCTTGATTTCTTTTTGGCAATGAGACGGTTTAACAAAAACAGTGACCACTTCTTTGGATGCATACTTCAGGCTGCTTCGATAGGTATGCATTTATATTTTTCTTCTATTCTTTTTTCATTTCTCTTCATCTATATCTCTCTTACATAAAAACTTTGTTATTCTTTCTGGGTGGCAAGTTTCTTTACACCCATATGTGTATCAAGTTTGTGGTTTAATTAAATAACATAAAAGGACTGGTAATTTGTGATCCGTGGGTACGCAAGAGATGTGGCTCTAGGAAACAGAAGAAGCCCTTCTTAATGCTTTTAGAAAACGTTTCCAATGTTCAAAGTATATGATATTTATTGGAAGTAAACGATGTTCTACATTCTAACTGCACTAGCGCTGCCTTTAAAATGAGAACTAATGAGGCTAAGTGGAAAGACAGTTCAATTTTTCGAGTAAATTTGTCAACCTGAGAAGATTAACTGGAAGTAAAATAGTGACAGTGATGCAGATATCCTGTTTGACACTTGCTGAATATCATTTCCTACGACATTAGTAAGATAGTTGACTGCCTATCAGAGGGCTAATTTGCGATTAAACGTTTAGTTCTATGCAACTCGACCACAACAAGACATAGTCGTTAACTTTGAAAAACTTCGGGACGTTACAAGTATCTGATTATTGTTTTCTTCGATACACAGCCAGTGGTTGCACGAAGTGTTGTTACGGCTTTATTTAACCACCCCTATATTTCACCCTCCATAATCTTATTGAAGGTTAGATCACATACCAGAGTATTTGATAACTAATAACCTGATTCAGTGCCATTTAGCAACCTCACAGGCTAACTTACCTTCGTTTCCTTTCATACTGAATAGTATTTATCTTTGTAAATAGCAACTGGTGATCCTTAGATAGCTTACTCATAATATACCCTGTTATTTATTGTCATTCATCTAGTCTTAAATGATAACACACTACAAATAAATTCATAAAACTTGCACAAATACATTAAATTAGATAAGACACGAATATACAGGGTAATTTAATTGGGGAGACAGAAATACTATTGATACTTACCGTGTGGTGTACGAGAAGTATATTCAGGGTCAAAATTTAGTATCTCATTTATCGAAGAACACGGAGGTTTGAAGGGTGGTTGAATTAGACCATTCAATAGGTCATCCCAATTGATTGTAGCAAAAAATTCATGACTTTTTAAGTGTTCAAATCCATCTGGTCCATGACCTGATTTAACAAACAAAGAATAGTGAAGGAATAAACAGAAAATGGAGTTAGAAGAACAATAAAAACAAATACGCTAAACATAATAGTCGGTGTAAAATAAAACTTAAAGCGGATGATGGTCATGACTAAGAAAGAAAGTTCATAATATGCGTTTCATGTGCACTGGATATTACCAGCTGTATATAGCTATCTCCAAATCCATGATTTTGGACTCCTAGGAACTCCAAGATGACATGCATCTTTCAGATACAAGAGATTTCTCTTCATGAAACTGTTGGGTTATAAACGCCATCCTTTTTTAACTTCTGGATTTTCCTGTCTAACTGGTGGTTTAGTAACTGAAGGTATCAGAGTCTGTAAACATGTGTTACATGCATGAATACTTCGATAATATACGTTACTTAACAACTCATTACAAACACTAATTTTATCTCATAAAGGAACAATAACCTTGGAATTCAAGTAATCCTGACACAGAATATCATTTCAATGAATGATTTAGTTATAAGGGAAGATGAGAAAACCATAACGAAATAATTTGACAAGAAAACAGAAGTAAATAACAGGCTGAATGAAGGAAAATAAAACAGAATTTTAAGCGAACTTAGCTAAATCACAGCAAGGATAAAATGATTTAGAATGAAGGTCAAGTATTTGCAAGAGTCTAAAATTTAATTGATTTAATGAACAATCATGTTTGTTAAGCTAAAAACCTTAGACAAAAATGAAAAGATTAATTATATACAGACCGTATGTAGCCTGATTAATTAACGATCTAATTACCATCTTGACAGTAATGACTATACAACCAACAAACATACGCGAGTATGTAGAAGACACTAACAGACATGCGTAAATCATATGAGTATGAGACTATGTAGTGAGAATTTTACGTTTACCTTCGACTGAACAACAATTCTACAAACAAAAAAGATGTAGTGTATGTTAAATTTAGCATTATCGGGTGAAATTCCTAAGTCTAATATGTTCATCAAATACATATCTATGGGTTAAACAATGCATAAACTGGAGCAATTGGTTTTGTTCAACATGATCTACTTAGATAAATTAATCTGTACAATCTCCCCGAAGCGAATACAGATAGTTGTCACATCCAAAATTATGTTGAAGCAAAAATTCAAATTACTGAAAGTTGTTAAGTCACCTGACTGAAATGTTATCTCATAAGAAGGTGCTAGATGACTGATTTAAGATGAAGTTTGATCATTATGAAATATCACAAATGTGAAATGTAATTTACAGTTAAATCAGATTTGCGTTATTATGGTTGTCAGATTACAGATTCTGTTTATTAAAAACTTATCTTCTTTCCAAAAAGTCTTTTTGTTTAAAAAAAGTACGACTGAATTAAGCTACACTTCCGGAAAAGTTAAACTATTTACTTTATAAATATAGGTGTAAAACTTGGGCACTATGGTAGAAATTAATTCCATATTACATTTGTTTATGTGATTTATAACACAGTGATCTAGTATTGTTTAATTGATGACGTTTCGAGGATAAATTATTGCTCATAATCAATAATTTATGCTAGAAACGTCATCAATTAAATAATACTAGATCACTGTGTTATAAATCAAATAAACGAATCTAATATGGAATTATTTACTTCATAATCTAACCTTTTTTGACTAGCTACATGGGATTACTTAACAGTGAAAATTTCGATAAAGTGAGAGAATTACTCATCAGCATGTTCTTCATGTAACCACACATAGTTAACTAATCCTAACAAGTTATACTTTGTCAGAGTAACAATCTGTCTACATAAAGGATCATTTAAAAAAGATGTTCAGCCTACACCGTCTGACTTTCGTCATTTTAAACTGAGCTATGTCCAATATCTATTCAGAAACTACATTTTATTCAGCTTTTATGCTTGTAACTTGGCTATCATACTGATGTTTGGCATTTATACCGTAACTGTTTAGCAGCCACCTACAACAAATATTGTTGGATCACATCTAGTTACACGAACATTCCTACTCGGATTTGAATACAACCATAGAATATATCATACAAGAGGATGAAAACAATATGCGAAATATGACTTGTAACTTTAATATAACGAACGGTGAACTTTATACAGGTTAGTTTTTGGAATATATGAAAAAGGGAAGCTGTTGATGTTGACAAAATTAAGAACTTTTTTCTCTTTTTTTCTAGTTTAGGTCAATGAAGTATCAAGATAAATGTGAAGAAATGCTTTAGGTCTTTCTGAGATGCAACAGAAAACGTTTCGATTTTAGGTTTAAATCCTAGTTTTTGAAGAGCTGAAGAAAAACAATTTACTCACCAGCTGACACTGCCTGACAAATCAAATTTACATTACCATTACAACCAGGAAGTAAAGTTTAACTCAACTGATAAATTATTTTAGTAAAGACTCGGAAATAAAGATAATCGAGTGACATTTATGCTTGCCTTAAAAATCAAATGAATTGTCACGCTGAAGTTGTTCAAAGACTAGTGACTACAATACTGAGTTGAAACGATGTATAATTTCACTCTGAAGTATTTTATCAGGGTAGACCATCTAATGAATCCAGAAAATAATCTCATTTTCATTGAAAGGCTTAATGCAAACGCCATGAATAGCTTAAAGCATAAAACTGTATGAAAATGCTGGATGTATATCTTAAGGCATAAGCTTTGTGTTCACTGTAAAGAAGAGCGATCAGTGGATATACAATGGATATGATCTGTGTTGTCATTTAGTTAGTTTAATTATTTTGTTCCCACTTTTTATTTTATCAAACCCAATTAAGCTAATGACATCCTTCACTTATTATCTTCATAGTAGTTTATTCTTGACAAAACTTAAAGTGACTATTATTTTTCCAAATTATTTTATTTCTGATATTTTAGAAATTTACTCAAAACAGGGTGTTCGTTCAAATAATTTATACAAGAGTTCTTTTTGTTATCAAGTAAATGATGCATTCACATGTGGTTGTAAAGCTTGGTAATGAGTTGACTACAAAAAATATGAACTGTTCACTTAAATTTCTATATCTAATCAACGTCATAATAAGGATTTACAAGCTATTTGTATCATTTCAGTCAACACTTTCGTAATTACGCCTAGAAAATGTCAACATATTCGTTTCGTGTGGTAGGCAGCACAAATGTAGTTTCAGCGAAAGCCAATCTCCGACAAAACAGAAATTCAAAGGATTATATATACCCTATGCAAGTGATAACCTTGAAAGTATTGCACAGCTCTGATCAAAAATTCATATCACTGCTATGACGTATTACAATAAACATCATTCGGTGTAGCTGAAACAAAGCTGATTACATATTTTTTAAACACCTAGGGCATATGGAACATTGATGGTAATAAAATTACATATTTGGCTACTGAATAGTTGACGACAACCGTAAACAAAAATGATCGTTATTTTAAAAACTATGTACGCATAATTTTAAATAGGTAGCCTTTTAAAATGATTCCAGCGCCATTAGAAAAATCTTGCTGACCTACTTGTATTGTGTGAGGACTAGCATATAACTAGACAGGGGAGCCAGGTTATAAAATTACAACACACTGAAAGAAGGTAAATTTTCGGAAACATTGAATCACATTGGTAATCCTCACGCATTTTAAGTCAGAAGCGAAATTTTTGATGTAGTTAAGTTACACACTCGCCTACATTTAGTGCTGTATGGAACCAAGTAGTGAGAAGTCAACTGATCATATGGCATCATGTGCTATTATCTTGCTAAGGTCATTTAAAAGCATCACATAAAAAGTAAGTAAACACAATCTAATTATTTGCTGATGCTAACCTAATAATTAAGTTACACAAACACATGCAGAACTGCTAGCTAAAAATAAATACAAATGGTTCCAGGGTAGCTTAAATGTTATCATTATTTATTGATATAATCAATTAGAAAAGCTGAACAATAATGACAAAGACTGCGACAACAGTTAATAATATCAACCAAATTAGAAAATATATGACAATCTCATATCATTTCCCCTTTAACCCATAAATCATTGGCTTGTCAGTATTACAGTAGCATCCAGTCGGTAGTGTGCCTGAATTCAGACACTTGGATGAATATCTGTGAGTCTATTTTTATACTTGAACAATATAGAAACCCCATTGGAGGACAAGAAACGAAGCAGCTCTCAGACTGAACGACCACATTGGTGACCCATTGGAGACTAATTTATATACTTATTCAACTTAAATAAGCGGTTGGTCATGGTCTGTATCGATTAAGAATGAAGACTCTGACTTCACCATTGAATAATGCAGGTTCATATCTCTGGGGGAACACTAATTTTTTCATGAATGCAGATACGCCTCGGTACTGATGATTTCTAACTGGCACGAAATCTAAGTCGATCTGTAAAGTTTAGACTTGAACAAAAGTACACTGTCATAGTGATCAGTATTCAAGAATTGCACAGTGAGAAGATTATTGTCCGGTGACCAATTCTGATACACAGCGGCGTTTATCAAATTAGTGGTGGGTTTATTGAAGTGGCGAAAAACTTTGTCACACTATTAATCTCATTGAAAAGGATAAACTGACAACAGACCGCAGACAACAAATATGGTGGAAGTTTGATGCATTTATTGACCATCATCAAAATATGAAAATCAAATTTTTTTAAACAGTTTTACTTTCCCGCATCAGAAAATGAAGAAATGGAGAGGGGAAGTAGAGGTAGGCTTACATTTTAGGCTATTAAAAATATTTCTTCGAATTCTTCCTTGTTACTTGTTTTAATCATTCAAATGTCAACTAATTATAAAAAATATTCTCGCGTACTCTTGAAATATATTCAACCTATCATTACACGGGTTAACAACAAGACTATGAGAAAGTATCACAGCAGTGCATCATACAGATATTACAGAAACACGTAGCTGGAACCTCAAATTTTCATACCGGGTGAATGAACCTCCACCACCAAATTTACGTGTTCTTTCCGATTCTATTCACGTGCACTAACATGCAAACTAGTTGATGACCTAAAAACTATTGGTCGTTGGTTGTTACTGTCTATCAACTGTTATTATTATTATTATTAACCTTATTTAACTGCGATGGCTTTTCAATTTGAGAAAATTGTACAAGAAGTAAATTTGAGTGTAAATATCACAGTGAGAATTTCAAACTGTACTAAAAGTTATTGTCTGAAATAAAGTGTCGATACTAATAATTATTATTACTATTAAGAAGGAGAGGATATTTTGGAATAAATGATTAAAATGCACATAAGAAAGAAAGGCTTCTGAAGAACAACTATGGCTACAAACATCCTCATGAACATCGTAAACTGAAAACCTTTTTTAATTACCTTAAATACTTATTTCAAAAATAAATCATTGTTAAGTAATAGTTCAAAACTGACACATTTTTAAAAGTTTGGGTTTTTGGCTTATCATTTACTTGGATGTTGGATGTCAGATGTAACTCACTGAACATTCAGTCATTTCTCTACGGACTTCGAGCATTAGGGAAATGACATTTATAGTGATTGGCATTTGATGAACAACCTGTTAATATTTAGTCAGTTTTATGCTTTTCTTTAGTCTTAGCTGACTGTTGTAGATGAAATATAAGTGAATATTAGTTGGTTGGAGGCAAGCCATTATGGAACTACGTTTCATGCCTATTTGCCTTTGTCAGCAAGACGTATCTGCAACCTAGAAGGAAACTATGTCTTACGTGAGATGCGAACCCGCCTCACCCAGTGTTTCACTCAGCGACGTTATTATTGAGCAACTCAGTTCAAGACCGACCTCCTGAAAAACTGAATTAGATACACTGCCTGGTTACAGGAGAGCAGTCAATTCCATGTTATCTAGTCCTCTGTGGTGAGCCATTTCTATAACTAGATAAGCACAGCTGGAGTCAAAGATATATATACATAAAAATATTGTAAAGTTTTGACTCAGTATGTGTAACTTCTCTAACTGATAAAAGAAACCTCTGTAACTGTCCACTGCTAAAATATACTTGATCACTAGGGATTCTTTTGAAATCGGAGTACGCATCTGGTGATATTAAAACAATAGAAAAATCAATTTATCTCTTACCTAGTCGATTTGATGGCGTACGTTTAAAGAGAGCACGTAGTAAACTTTGAGCTGCAGGACTGAGGAATTGTGGCATTGATAACTTTGATCTAAAGAAAGTTTGGATAAATAAACAAAGTATGTATCACTTGGTATTTCTGTTTAATAAATAAAAATCATAAGAAGGAGATTCATCACTCGAAACTGGTTAACTGCGTCAAATTTCAAAGGATTACCAAGTATAAAAGTTACACAGTACATATGCATATCAGTAGATATCATTCACAACAAGCGCTTAAACTCAATAAAAATTTAGTTAATGCTTTACATAATCCTAAGCCCATAGATTTATTCTGTTGTGTTAGGCATGCATTTAGCAGAGTTCATAGGAGAAGACGTTCTTTCATAACTGGTCTGCATTTACACTACTGAAAAAATAAGTGATTGGATACAACCACTACCTCATCTTTGCCAAGATTTGCATCCAATGAGATGAAAACTGACAACAAAAAGAAAAGATTTTCTTAAGATTCAACGTTTGGTATCATTTACAGCATCAGCAAGATAGCCATATGCCTACCAGGTGGTGAGTGTACCACCCAATGTTCTACTCCAACCTACTAAACGACTGAAATAACCAAGAAGGTAGAAAAATGAATTAAATAAGGATATTCGATCACAGATGTCTTCAGAGCATTGCTTCTTTATGATGAAACCCTCTGGATGAGCTATGTTGAGGTTAAAATTAAAGTTTTGGGATACTCTAGGCAAGTTAAACAAAAAAGCCTTGGATGCTCAGCCACTAGGTTACCTAAATTGTAGGAATCCATCACTGAATAGGAGTTTTATGTTAATGCTCCTGTCTACCTCTTTTATTGAACGTAAACCATAATTAAGTTGTAATCTTAAGGGAATGAAAGTAAAATTATTTTCAAATTCAATGAACTCAGTCACACTATTATACACAAAAGAAGTTATTATGCTTCTTTATTATAACTTTATGCATGATTAACTGTTGAGGCTTAGTTGATTGGCACCTTTTTACACTGCAGCGAATGTAAAATACAACAGACTGATATGATTAGTGGACGACTATTGATTTCACTGATAAAACCTTTTGTAGTTCTGATGGAATGGCTTATTCTAACCGATATCAAGTAAAACCCAATAAAAAGGACCAATTTTTGATTATCCACCTAATTACTACACAAAGATGTTCAACATTGCAGGTTTAGTTAGTTTTTGGCATAGTGGCTTGAGATTTGGCACCATGTCACTTGATGACACAGTCTAGAGTATTATTCTAATTTCCCATGCTTGAAAATGATACTATCAGACAGAACCAAGGGAATAAATGAAACTATAGACACTTGATGAAACAACTTGAGAAATGATGCATATGAGTTGGAAGTAGTAGTCAATCCGAAATTTGATTAATTTTTATAAAAGAAACCTGTGCACCAATGACAACCAATGTGACTGAAATACACTACTACATTAAGAAATGAAACTAAAAATCTCAACCTCCTGCTGCTCAGTCTAATAGTTAACTTATTCATATTTTGACACAAGACCTTCATCTGGTAAAAGTTACACTCTAAGGTGCAGCTATTCCATAAGATATCATGGATTGTGCCAGGCAGCAACATGGAATGGGGTACATATATCTCTTCTGTCTGAATTTCGGCATGTTTCCATCCTTTAGTAAATATGTAACTTAATCTCCAGGTTACATAAGCGTTTATTCTCAGTCGAATCGAACGGACGAGAATTATCCTAAAAAACTTCTGGCTTTGTCATTTGAAACGAAAGTTTATTTTATCAACACAGGCCTACTGGGATGAAATTATAATTTTTCAAAATTTTCCACTAGTCCTTTGCCGCAGTTGATGCAACTTTCCAAATTCAACTTGCTTAAAGGAGTTTATATACTATCTACCACTAGAAACCCACGCTGAAGAGCGTAGAACTCAAATCACTAACTAAACAGGCTTCATGTGAAAAAAAGGAAACTGCGCGTATACATTTGGATGTTGCACAGATAGGCAGCTATACTGGTGACATGTAAACTTCAACAGCACATCCACTCAGAAGTCTATTCTCTACTTATGATAATAAAGTCAACTTGTTGCTATATACAAGCCTATTTTCACCACTGCCTACTGCTCAGGAGTCCTGAACTGGGACAAAACAGCTACCCAGTGATTCCAGGTTTGAGAAGGTTTTTTCTTCCACTGGTACTACGTCGAAATCAATCTGTTCCTGCAAACCACCAGCCGAACAAACATATTTTACAGATAATTAAGATAAACTATTTTAAAACCGACGTAAGTGCTACAAAATTTTTCTACTCCAGAGTTGTGCGTGTTAGTGTGCAATTTAGACTGTTTTCACGGTTGACAATATGATTATACAAATGATGATATGATCTTTAAATGATTTGAACTGGGCACTTCAGTTAAGAAATCTAAAGTAACCAATAATGCAAACAGCAATGTTGAACAGAAGACATTAAATTGATAGGATATTACAGAGTATATTGCAAGCGCAAACAACAGAAACAGCTCAACAGTATTTTATATTAGTCAGGTGTGATCAATGTACGCTGATATCACAAAGTCATAAAGTCATATGTTTAGGCGTAAAATAAAAAGTTGATTTATAATTGACTACAAACTTTCTTGCTTCAGATTTGAATCGGATATGATAATGACGTGAACCAAGACACTTGCAGTAGCTACCAAGCAAAATACTTTATTTGAACAAAGCTACTTTGCGTCCTAAGTTAGAACTGATGCAACGAAAGCTTGGTGAATAGCTACCACTAAAGGTAAACGTGACAAAGTTATGAAAAACGGAAGAGTATACTAAACAATAGTGATTTAAATGTGAAAAAGCTAACCACAACATAATCAGAGAATATTTGATTTCATCTCTACACTGACCTTAATGTTTCCCAACCCCAATAGTGTAAATTTTAATTCCCATGCACTACATTTTATAACCTTCCTAACTATATTTAAGACCAACAGTCCATGAGTAATAACTCAGCCAAAACATACCAATTTAATGCAAATATTCGTCATTTTATCTCAATATAGGCGCTCAGAAACCACTGATACTATTTCAGACGTGAAATTGAGGTATGCAAGAAATATAAAGACCACTTATCTTGTGAGACGATTTCAGCAAATGGATAACGATAACCTTTATGCCGTAATGTAATGTAGAGCATCTGTGCACCATTAAAATGGTAAAAAATGGATATAAGAAACTGCTTAAATACCTTGTTTTACACCCTCAGAACTTATAAGTGCAAGATAAAGTCATACACTTCCTCAGCCTATTCTATACAAAAGTGATCACATTTGCCGTATAGCCATCGTCATACATAGGTCATTATGAATAGCTTCATTAATCCGCCCACCACTTACAGTTGTGAGAAATTATTTATACATAGCAGTGACATACACTTCAAAAGTAAAGCTTTGGTAAGGGGAGATCTATCTGACCTAATTCTTATAGACTGATTTATTTACTGATAAAAAGTTATAAAACCGCCTTTCACTCCTGAAAATTAAGTTTAGTTATAACTGAAACATATATCTGTTTTCCTAAAATGTGGTAGAGTAATGCCAACACTGTGGAGCTGTGGCTCAGTGGTTTCAGGAGATGACTATCAACCAGCGGGTCGCGGGTTCGAACCCCGCCCCAAATACCGACGAGGTTTAGGCAACCAGGTAGTAACCCTAGCCGTCAGACAATAAGTGTGGCTCATTGCCTAGTGCATGGATGATCACAAGGAAACTGAGTGTGTGCGTCTGTAATGCCAACACTAAATCTAAGCTGAATTACTTATAAAAAGAATAATAATATACCTCATCGCCTGTAAATTTCAGCATGGAATAGGTTAAGAGCTACACTCAGTATGTGAGCACCCCTGATACTACCCGATGGTTGCGAAGTAGAAATGCGTAGAGCGAGATTCAAACCCAAACTCCCTGCTCGAAAGCCGTCTTAAGCCATTGGTTCATAAGGAGTAAAAGCTTCAGGTTAAAGCTGTGTATGAGTTTGACGTGCAGACACAACAGCCTGATCCTAACTTAAAAATAGACCCACAAAATGTGTCTTACGGTGTTTAATAGACTGTCTTATAAATGTAAAAGGAAAACAGCATGATCTAGCACAAAGTAGTCACATTTGTTTTAAAATACTTATTATCCATGGGATAATATTATTTTCCCCGTTGTTAATTTACAAGATTAAGTCAGCACTTACTGAAAACATGGGTATTTTTTAATCACATCTTGATATCTCTAGCGGTCAAATTAATAAATTATAAATAACAGGCAGTGAAATTCAGGTTGTTTGTTCGGTCGTATTTGGCACTCTTCAGCTGAATTTCACTGCTAATGACTAAAATATATTTTCCAATTAACTATATCAACAGCTTAACGGATGTAAGGCGCCTACGGATAAATTACACAGGAAAATGTGATAGGACTAGAAAGTAAATATGTCATGTTAGTAGAGGTGGGAAGTAGAAGAATGGTCACAGATAGTGAGGTTAAACAACCATCAGGTTATATTAGCCTTCTTTGTTTGTCCTTTTGCTTTTTACTAGAAAGAAGAGGCCGAAAAAGACTATGATATGAGAGCCCTTTGGCTTCAGATCAAGAAATGTTCTACATAATACTTATCTTTCTAAATGCACTAGCAAAAGTTGCAAACTGTAAACACGACACTAGAAAGGCTATATCAAGATAGAGTAGACACACTACTATTTAGAAGCTTACACTGCCATATTGGAACATATTTCTGCATCGAATATTGCTTTAAAATGGCTTGATTATACAAGGTACTTCACCTGCCTCCCAAGAACAAAACTACTTTCTAGACATTCACTGCATCTAAAACATGTAAATAAACTGAACACTCATAGCCTTATCACTTCATTTGAATACTTCTATAATCGGTTAAGTAGCTTCATGGTAATAAATTACAGTAGGTGAAAGCATATTGATGGCTAATACTATCTTATTAAACTTTTTCATATCTTAATTTGACCTATAACTAAAGTAATATCAAATGACAACACTAAAAGAATTTATAGTTCACACTTAACGAATTTTGTTACTTGACAAACCGAAAACACACGCTCCAACTGATCCTCGTCAGTCGTTAACTGAATAGTCACTTCTAACGACCTAGTTGGTAAACACATGAAACAACTTGAATTTTACACGGACTAATAGACTACTTACTCCTTTAGTTAGTTCAGGGGTCAGTAAAGTATGCACCTGGGTATTTCTTTCCCTTTGTCGTTATGATGCATTATTTTCGGAAAAATTCCTTATCATCTGTCAGTCCATGTAATCTAACTTTCTGCAGGCTTACGTAAGCAGTACACGTTATCATGCATTACATTCAAAATGAAAACTGGTTTATTCTAAAGCCTAATACTTCGACTACTGTTTTCACATACAAATCTGTATACACTTTGTGTCAGCTTATTTTGTTTAGCTTCTTAACTTCTGTGATATGTTTTGGGAACAATTTATAATATGAAAACAAAACGAAAACACTGGATGAAGAGGCAAGCGTCATGTTGTTGGAAATGTATCGAATATATCAATCTTGCCGACATCTATTGTGTGAAAAATATACTGGATACAGCAAGTAGAAAAGTAACAGAGATTTTGAGGATTTTGATCCAAAAGGCCGATAACCATGATTAAACTAGAAATCTCTGAATAAGAAATAATAATTTTTTTTCAAGAAGAATGGTTAACATTTGCCAATCTAGACCACTTATAAAATTTACGATCTAACTCTTTAGCAACCAGCCCGTATGCCTACAGAATAGCAGTTATATTAAACATTCGTTCACTTTAATGTGTTACTACATAACTACTTACTCAAATTTTCATATAAAGGTCTCGCGTTGAACTGAAGATTCTTTACTGTTTCGAAATATAGACACTACGTTGTTCTACTCAATGTTTTTAAGGAAATATTTATCACAAACCGACCCCAAATGAAGAACCACTGAAAACTTGGAAACATTGGACAGCTGCTGCATCCTAGTATAGAACTCCTCCACAATGCATACCCATGACTCCACCATGAACCGATCCCAGCAAGGTGAGATCTCGTGGTGAGCACGTTAACCATACAGCCACTTAGTCGGAGTTCAGTAGTGAATATTTTCTCACTTCTGTCAATTCGTGATATAATGACCAGCATACCATGCTACCACTAAGTATATGTTTTCGCTTCTGGCTGCCTTTCTGCAAGCTGGTGGGAGCCCAGTAAACAATGGAAAATGGTTTGTTTGAACTACGTGGCCCTTATATATAGTTGTCATCGGGTTCTCACCAACTTGCCAAAAGGTACCCAACATTGAATCTTCCGACATCCTGAGTTGGTGGCAATCAGGATAAAATAACCGGAGTTATTTTCAGGAGAAAAAGGTGTGACTGCTGCAACTACCTTAGCATCATTTTGGATTAACAAATTCCTAAGCATTCTACCTTAAATAACCTAATTTTCAACTTCCACATCGTAGATATCCTTTCATCCCAGTATTCTGAAATAACTGTATCCATGACATTTTCTTTGCCTATTTTGTTACCTAACATGAGTGACATTTTACTAAGCTAGTAACCTTCAAATTACATATCTTTGTTTTTCGAATCCCACTTTCATGCACAGCTACCCATTATTTTTACTACCAATTTACATCCACACTCCACCACAATTTACTTCCCTTTCTACCTATGATAGGTTTTGTTAAACAGTTTTCATCATGGAGGTTAATATGATTCATTTTCACTTTAGAGTTTTATATAAGCCATATAATCGTTTACATAAGCCATTATTTTTAAGTGAATTCCAGTAATAACTGATATTTATATTAGCGTTCCCTTAATAAGAAAAGAATTCCGACAACTGCATAATGTTACTCACAAGCTTTTACAGGAAATCTCACTATTACTAAAGCAAAATTACGAAATCTGAACATACAGTTGTAGGACATGAAGTAAAAGTTATTCAAATGAATATTCGTTGTCCCTTGAAATATCTTCTGAATTATAATGGGAGACTTTATGCGGTTTTTAACTTAATTTTGGAGGTTTTGTGAGGATTTTATTTGGTGATTTCACGTTGGCAACTATAACGGACTAACATCAAGTGGGGAAACATTGGAAACCTAAGAATACTGGATAGCTGTTTCGTCCTGGTATGGAATTTCTCAGCAGAACGCATTCATGACCCGGCTGGGAATCGAAATCCTTGACCCATTGTTTCAGCAGCAATCGCGTTGCCATTGAGCCATTATGTCGGAATTCAGTCATCTACATTTCCCTCTGTTGTCAGATCATGATACAGCGTGACCCCCATCCAATGCGATCTTTGAGTAACTGTCTTCATATACGACTTGGTTGGCCTCACCGATCACGACTTTTCACTAGAACTTGGGGAATTTCATATCGAAATAAGTCACTGAAGAGCACCAGAGTAATTAAATTTTGGAGGCTTTGTGTTTTATTCATTGATTTCAGGTTTGTATTCACCATGAAGTAACATCAGATTGTCAATATTCGGATGAAGAATGTGTTGGCAAAAGAATAATGGGGACAGGAGTAGCCTTTATTTTCTTGAAGACTAACAGATGATTAATGCTTGAACATGTTACTTATGAACGCAAAAGTCTTGCTGGATCGATCTTTTTGCGACAACCTCAGCTATGTTCAGCCGGGTTCGGTGAACTACGTTGTATTGTTTTTGGTAAACAATCTATGAAATTAGAAATTCCATAATGTTTATGTGATGAACTGTGCTCACTAGATGCACTAGGATAAAACTATTTACCACTTTCAATTCCTTTTATCCATATCAAATCGGTAAATGTTGTCATATCCAGAAATGTACCTGCCTAATAGCACGCTTTGTTCCACTTGTTTCAAATGAACAGCTAAACTGCTTCAATTACCTACATACAAATACTCTTGACTGAATGGAACCATAAAAGACATGTAAGATGTTAAATTTCAAAGTTATTCCTTTCCGCACTTAATTATTTGTTTATGTTTTTTGAACCAATCACCAAATAACAAGTAATTTGCGAAAATTGAACACGTCTATTCATACTCTCAAACATGAATATCAAAAAGTATAGGTGATATACAGAAGCCTAGTTTGCCGGTGATTTAAAAAATAAATTGCTGTTAAAAGTACATAGGCATCCCTGAGAATCACTCTGCATTAGTTTCTCATTTGCTGGCGCTCATCGTTGACGCCTACCTGTAGTCTAGGAAAATTGGTGCCTAGTTTAAAAACTTCAGCTGTAATACTCCAGTGCAACAGTGAAACACATATTAACTGAAATATTCAACCTATGATTCACATCACATAAGACTAGTTCGAAGAGCTGACCGAATTCTATGGAATGAATTCGAAATATGATCATAAAGCTACGAGGTGTGGTATATTAGTAAGCTTTCGCATAATCAGATTAAAGAAAGTCACTTTGGCACCTTTAACCTAGGTTTTCACCTACTGAAACTCTTCAGAAATGCTTGTCTGTTACATCGAAGAAACGGATACCCTTCAAAGTCTTAGATTTTAGTTTTGAAGATTTGACAGATCATTAACTGTTTCAAGTTAATGAATATTCTTTAGTGATCAGCACTTAGCACTAGACCTGATTAAAGCAGAACCTCCTGCCAATTAACTTCTAACAACCATGAAAATTTTACCAGGATTCTCATATTAAAGTTACATCACATTATCAAAACATGATCCCACAGTGATGAAGTCAACTACAATATAAAAAAACGAGAGGAAATGTTATTTTGCACAAAAATAAAATTTACGTTTGCATTTTTTATGTCTAGATCAGATGTCTGGAAACTAAAAAGACTCAGGTGACAGAACTACCCGTAAAGGATACTAATTCTTCAGAAAGTTACACTCATTGCACATTGTTTGAATTATTTCACTGTATCGAAGGCAGAAATAGCGAAATTAGTTGACTACTTATTCAATGGAATCCATTTTGTAAATAGTCGACTAAAGATGATGAGATATGATTGTCTGTGTTGATCAATAATCAAAAAAACTCTAACACAACTGAATATCATTACTGTACTGAATTAAAAAAATATTTACTTACTTCAAAATCATCTGCATCGTATCTTTACGATTCTCACTGTGGAAGGGTAACATACCAGTGAGCAGTTCGTACATCAGTACTCCAAAGCTCCACCAATCAGCAGCTGTACCATGTCCATGTCTATTAACAACTTCTGGGGCCATGTATTCTACTGTTCCACAAAAAGAATAAGTTCGATCACCAGAAGATTCGAAAATCGATTCTTTAGACAGGCCGAAATCAGTCAGGCGTACATGACCCTCTTCATTTAGCAAAACGCTTAGTATAATGTGGTGAAAAAATGAAACTATTAACCAGGGACTTCAGCTCACCATTTCAAGTACATAATCAAAAATATAGAAATACGCCATTACTTCTGACCATGCCTGAATTACCAAGGTGGAAACTTTAAATGATGAGTTACAAACTCGACCCCAGGAGTGGATACATCAATATCTCCTCACTAAAATCCTGAAAGGTTACTGAGTTTCCATTTGTCTTGTCTTTTTTTTATAAATGCTGACTTACAACTCAATGAAGAAACGAAAAGTACAACAACTCAGAGTGATGCGCAATTATTCTAGATCCTATGCTTTTCATGTTGCCCTCGAATCCCGTAACTATGTTTACATACTTCATGCTTGACAAAGAATTCTTGTTGAATAAGTTTATATATATATATATATATATGTATATATATATATATATATATATATATATATATATATATATATATATATATATATATATGTTTCTCGACAATACTATGTACAAATGGGATTAAAACCACCCAAGAGATATGTCATTCTTGTGAAGATGATTTAAACACTTAAGTTAACTTTAATCCTTTCAAGCAAGTAGGTCATGATAAATTCTAGCAACACATCATATACAAACGACCTTTGACTAAACAATTTGTGTTTGACAAGAGAAAGAACAGAATAAAATCTAAGCTTGTGTGCACACTAGTATTTCACAATAGCGTTAGTATAACCCAGTTAGATGTTTGGGAGAATTAGGATTGCCAACTAAAAATAAGGTAATATTCGTGAAAATCAATTATCTTACGAACATTTCAAGATCTAAATTCACTGACTGCTAAACTTGAGCCATCTTTTTAAGTTTAAAAACTGTTGTCGTTTTTCTTGCTCTCCAATGTACCGTAATAAAAGTTTTAAATCAACCATGTCTTGCTTTTAATGCTGGGAAAACCTAGGTAGATAGTCTGCTTCTATCTACCCGGACATCAAAAAACAAAAGCTTTCACTTAGTCTAATGCATAACGTGGTATTCCTTCTAAAGATGATCGAAACATTGAGTACTATTTCCGTGTAAAGTGGAAACTAAATATTTAGTGAACTTATTCTTACGTCAGCTAGCTGATTTCGCTTTCCACTGTCATCTGTCACTGTAAAAACTACTGGTGTATACGATCTATCAACAAGTTTGAATAGCATGGTTCAATTAACTCGATCCTATACAAATGCAACACTTCGAAAGTTGTTTGACCTTACACGTGTTATATCAAGCCACAGTAACACTTCAGAGGCGATCCCAAGCATATTATTTATTGTAAACGACCTTCATTTTCGTGAATTTTCGAATACCAAAATCACTTGCTTGTGTTTACGTTATTTTTGCTTATGCTACTAGTCAGTACCTTGCATCTGTCGTTTACAGAACCACTTTCAGTTTATGTTTTTGCGAGAAGAAAGGAAAAAAGCATTTAAATAATTGTTAAGACATGCACCTGGTGACTGACACATAACATCAAAACCAAAATCGTGTAATAACCACAACAGTACTGTATTTAGGTGTAATACGATTTATCCCTGAATATAACCTATTTCCCATCGTCTATTAATTACATCCCTTTGCATATTCCTGAACTGAAGGCAAGCTCCAAAATAACTCCAAACCCCCTTATCTAAAGTAAACAACTATTGACGTGTCACTTAATGTCAATCTAATGAAATCACTGATAAAACTAATTTTTTTGAGCATGAATAGGGGTCGAAAAGTTAATCTGAAACAAAAGGCGAAACAGACAGGTGTGAACTTTTATTCGTTCCGGAAATCTGTTTCAGAATATACTGAATTCTGTTGGACATTGGGCATAGTATCTAAAGTTGTCACATGTTCAAAAACGCTGTAGAATAAATGACTGAAACGGGTATAATGAGTTATGTTTTTCATTAAATCATTGACATTATTGTTCACTGTGGGGTAGTTTGGGCCTGCCAAACCTTCATAGAATAAACACAAAAACTGGTGTTCAACTGAAATAAATCGGCCGTTAAAGTACATGCTCAGACTATCAAAATATTATCTACTAGTCTTACTAAGTAGCACCACCTCCTTTTGCTTATCAGAGTTCAATTTAAATAAAGCAGTTCGACTTTCTCAACTTGTCAGTGTACCTGATTCGAGTTGACAGAAGTCTTCGTCCAGAACTGTAGAAAACGTACGTGTTGTAATGCTATCGAAATATATGATTTTTCAAGCCGGCGGTATGACGTAACTTACTCTCCCTTAAAATATATGATATTTAATCCAGCTTTTCAAGACTGGCACTTTTTCATCAAAATGGGATCAAAAATGTTAGCTACCTACTTGAGTGTATCAAAGTAGGCAGTGTACAAAAATTAAAATATTGGCATCTCCTGAAAAACTGTGAAACTTCAGAGTGACAAAATAATTGCTGACGCATTCAAAATTCAAATCACCTTAGTCTTTAAAAATAACTTTAAAACTTCTTTATTCTTCATTGTTTTCACTTTTGTGTTTACTTATTTCTTAATTTTGCGGTTGACTTATAGCAGTATAGTAATGATATGTAGCTTAAAATATCGTATGGAAATGGGAACATTCACTGGCGTACATAAAACTAGTGATGAAGGCATAGTATCATCCAAGTTACAGACTAGAAAATGATACAACATCGACAATGTTTGAATGAAATCTGAGTGCTTCGGATGTACTTCTACACTTGGTGTAACATTACCCAATAGCTCAATTTAAAGGTCTAGTAACCTTATTTCTATCACTGTAATGCACAAACGACAAAAAGTACGCATTACTTTTATACCTTTCCAAAAACAACAAAAGAACTCTTCTTAATTTAGCATTTAAAATGTCAATTTCCAGGAAAAACTTACTTTTCAGGCTTCAAATCTCTGTATACTATTCCATGGTTGTGCAGATAATTAAGGGCTAAGGCAATTTCCGCTAAGTAGAACTTCACGTCGTCCTCTGTAAACATATACTTGATGAAAAGGTAGTATAATGAGATGTTAGAGCTACCTCTTTCGATAGGCGAGAAAAAAGGTCACCTCCTCGGAGAAACTCTAAAATTAAGTAAACCTTTCCCTCGGTTTGAAAGGCTTAAGTAGTCAGATTAAAGTGATAGGCATACCATAGTGTAGGTCTACTATGAAAGGGTGTTTAATTTTAGTCAATATATCCCTTTCTAACTTTGTCCTTATTCTGTCACGCACTACAAAATTTTCAACATCATCAAAATTTCACACCTTTCAGAACAGCTTTCCTCAGGACTTTCATTGCATACAGTGTCCCTTTATCACTTCCATTATTCTTTCTTACCAAGAACACCTAGGGGCAAATTAGAGACTGGGGTGTCCTACCATACCTTTCCAAACGACCCTTGCCCAATAACATAAAGCAAATCAAAACAAGACGCATCGACTTTCTCAGTTTTTTGAGCTAAGTTCTCTATATTCACCTCAACCTCAGCAACATCGACCTGAAAAGCAGTCATGAAACGTAACCAAACAGACTTTTTGACAAACTTCATCAGGTGATTCATCGATTGATATGCACTTTGACTAACCTAAATTAGAACAATTTGGCAGACTTACATCCTCAGTAACATCGCTCGCCTTTAAAAATGGCTGACCTAGATGTGCAAGCGGCATCTCATCGGTGCTAAGTGTACGTTTGAAATTGCACACTATTTATTTGAATGAACTTTGACATTGGGCTTGAAGAGTATAAACACCTGAAACATTATTCAACATCGGTCTGGGTAGTAAAAGGAAAACAATATTTTTTGGACTCTAACATCCAGGTCCTTCGACTAGGTTTTTCTCGGTTTACTTTTTTCAGCTATCGTAGGAGTCTTTACCGTTTACTTGGAAATAGCTTCAAAGATAGATATTATTTGTCTGGGGATTTTGCAAATTGTAAACAAGCTTGTTTATAAAATCGACGAAAGTAGTGGTAATACCAATGACAATTTTTATTTCTATCCGTTCATTTACCTGTAAGTAAACACCAAAGAGTGGAAAGAACAAGTGGATAACAACAGTATTACTGGTAGCAATATGAAAATAGTATGACCAACAGCGTAGGTGTCAAGGTAAGGCAGCAGGAAGTTGCAGAAGCCTAACCCCTTCAGATACTAACACAGTGTAGAGGCAAAAATTCTTCAAGATCAATGCGCTATGGTTCGGTGGTGTTTGGCGTCGACGCTGACTTCCATGGTTTTAACTGAATGATTATTCTGGAGACACAAGTTCAAGCATCCACTACGCGTGTCACATTATGTCGCATTACCCGTACGCGGTCCTCTAACCAGCCGGCCAGAGGCATCGGTATTTTGGCACACCACATCAAATACACTGTTTCCAAGTGGCAATTTGATTGTGTCCTTTCGCGGTATCGCAACTGTGCGCATTTTAGAAGTATACCGAATTATTAAATGGACCCTGAGCCTTTCAAGTTCCCGTGAAGCCATTACTAAAACTAGCTTGCGCTTTGGAGCACCCACTGAGGGACCGCGGCTACTTCCCCTGACAAAACCTCCCACAACGCTAAAATTATGTAAGGGGAGAATTCAGATTTAAATTTCATCTTGGTCTTTCATGGCGTATGGGAGTAGTTTTCAAGCTAGATTTCCGGTCTCTGAACGACAGTGTTATCCTTTCAGGGTGACCATTTTGATGAACAACCTTGTGAAGGTTATAAAGTCTCTCCTTTTCCTTCCGTAGCTCGAGCAAATTTGGTTGAGCTTACTAAAGTAGTGGGCGTACGTTTTCCCTCTGAGTTCTAGAACCAAATCTGTCGATTTTCAGTCCACCTTCTTGAAAGAGTTTTTCTGTCCACAACAGCGGTTTGACATTTTATCGCACACCTCTAAGTAAAGTCTGGTGTGTTTGAGGGTTGTCAGGAGGAATTAGGAACAACAGCTCAACTTGGCCTTCTTGTGAAACGTGTTGGGGCGTTCGCTTCTGTTTCCGTTGTTTTACAGCCGGCACTGGATCCAATATGTCGCTGAAAACTGGTCCTGCTTCTTACCCTGTATACACTGTTGTAACCGCACAGTCACTGAGGGAGCAGCCAGCTTTCCTGGCTTCCAGTGTTTTGAGACACGTTATCTTGCACTTCTCTAGCCTGTGGTTCAGTTCATTTCCAGCCCCCCAGGACTCCAGTTCCAGTGTGCCATCTGTGAGCCCCCTATGATCTCCCAGAAGTGGTTTCTATTTTATTTTTAAGGCATCGGCGAGTATGAGGACGGGCAACAATACTTGCTTGCCGAGGTCATCTGTGAAAGGAAAAGCAAGAGCAACTCTAGAGGAGCCGTTTTAGATACTCCTGTCCCTAACGTTTTACAGGCCGGTGGAAACCTGTTTCCCTTGGTACAGAACTCTGTCCTCTAGATCTGCCCTGGGCCACAGTGTGACCGCTTCGGTAGTGCTCAAAATTATAATTTCAGCCACTGTGGTGTTTTCTAGGGTCCTAACGATCGCTTCTGTCATATCCAGAGGGATTAAGTGGACTGATTGCTCGTTATCCCATCTGAGGGTCTTTGTATCGTATACTGTCGTCAAGTTTGTGGCACATGATCGCTTGGCTAAGAAAATGTGTTGAGGGGTAAAGACGATGTCTTCCCCGTCTGGGTAACCCCGAACAACACCGGCCACCAAACCTTTCATTACCATGGATTGTATGAGGAGCGTCGCCGTTGGTCAACAAATTCCTGAACGTTTTCGATCTCCTCTCTCTTCAAGATTGTTCGAAGTAAGGTGGGCTTTTATCTTTAGAGAGTTGGCCAACTTGCACCGTGTTGGTAGACAGACTGTACGTGGATATGGTCGGTACACAAACGGATTCGGAAAAGGATAAAGGCGATGGTTGGCGTTCGTCAAGAATTCAATTCGGAGTATCGGTAGTATGAAGAAGTGCTGTGTTTCCTGCTGAACGGTAATGCACAGTAACAACGAATTTCGGGCGCATGGTGTTCGTTTCCAATCCTTGACCTTCTGATGATATTTTCTTAGGCGCGAGGCCTTGGAGGGAAGGGATGTAAGGCGAACTTAGTCCACTGGTAACAATATTTAATACAGCGTGCCAATATGAGGCAACCTGTCGTCTCACAGTATGACAGTGGACAGAGCTCAGGCTGAACCCGTTGTTCACCATGGGAGCAGCTGGAGTGACTTCCTTCCACCCCGGCTGCCAAAATTTGATTCACTTTTAGTCGTTTTTATACAGACGGCGTGTTTCTATCTAGTGCGTACACATGCCAAAAAATACAAAAATAACTTACGACTGTATCCTAAGAGATAGGGTTTTCAGACTGTGTTTGAAGTTAGCCCTTGTGAAGTTTAACTCAGAACCTGCTGACTGAGACGTAGATTCCATCGAATGCTAAAAGTGTTCGTTGCAAACGGTTAATGTAAAGGCACTTTTGTTGGAAGTGAATTAAGAGCAAATCCCTTTTTTACTTGCCCACCTCTGCATGAAATTCATCCCGTGAAGGTGCCCTCTCCTTATCGCTCAATGAACTCACCAGTCTGAAATGTGCGATAATTGTAGAAAGGAGAACCTCTTCACGCTCCACAGTCGACATATGCTGAGCAGGAAGAAGCGGTGTGGAGATATATTCTTGATCAGAAACGAGACCCTTTCTACGGGTGAGATCAAGCATGCAACAAGGCTATCTATCGTAAATACTGGATCCGTCTGATATGGCTTTATCTATTTCTGAACCAGTGCAAGTGAAAATGTCCGTGGAAGTGAAGTCTTGGACATACAGTGGAAGGGAAACAAATGGTGGCCAGTAAACAAATCGATTACAATGCCAGTAAAATTGATCACTTAGCCACCTCATGTACTCACATATATGCGCTACAGCAGGATGAACAGAAGAGTGGAGCAGCTAGCGCCTAAACCAGTTCTGAAAGCTGCGAGATATATACGGGGTGGGAAATCTGCGAACTTAAAACTGACATATACCAATTTTTAGGGGTTTCACCAGAAGAAACGTCCACCAAGTGTTGGTTTACTTGTGAGTAAACCGTGGCAGCGTGATAGTGGTCTCTTAGCGTACGATATTTACGTTACGGGAAGGTAAAAGATCGGGGATATTCTTGAGCAAAGCAGGGCTTCTATACTTGTCTACGAGACGATCGGCGAAGCCCAGTTGCATTCAAAAGAATTTCTTTGGTTTCTGCCAAGGCATGAGGAGGGTGTTTTTGTCCCAGCGCGATGCGACACAATGTCCGGCCATAATTTCTGTCCCTGCCGTTCGAAGTCCCTGATTCCAATTGGAATTTCAGTCACTTTTACAACGTCTGGGCTCTGTCACCAAACCAGGGCGACGGACCCTACCTCAGGCGTTTCTTAACCCAAAACACGTGTCGTTGACCGGTTACTCCGTATTTCTACCGACTAAGTAGTCCCTAACTCCAGTGTCTAATTTCGTCAAGCAATAATTGGCGTCTCGAGCGAAACGTCCAGCAGAACAGTTCTGGTTTCGTCCTCTGTGTTTACCAACAATAGCAGTAATATTTGCTTTTGGATACAAAGGCACACATCATTTTTGCAGGCATGAATAAGTTTCCATGTAAATTACTTGTATTTTTACGGCAGGTAATCTCATTCCCAATCTATTGTCACTAGAAGATATAGGTCCTGCATGTTCATACAATGGAACATCCCAGCAGAACAAGCATGCAGAAAATTTACAGGTTGGACGAGTGGAAGTATTGCCTTGGCATTAAGCAAAAACCAGGTTTCTATCTGGACACTGCATGTATTACCTGACGAATAATAAGGCTTGAAGCTAATACTTCCATTGTAACAGTTAGTACTTTTTACTGAAGATGATGATGAAAAGTCTATGGAGGAGTGTATGCACAAATTGTTTACTTATTGTACTTCACTGATGATCCCAGAACTGTGTAATTCATGCATGTTAATACCAATCCACACGAGAGATTCATAATCTTTATGAATATTGCGACTGGGGGCTAAATATTTTCACTTCTCTAACTCCAGCATCTAGAAGCAACAGACTTGTTTGAATGCCCAAGTGAACTTCCAGGACATTTTAACCGGTCGTGAAAGCCCTGCGGTCGGTAAATGTTGGACTTTGCTGGTCACTTTTACAATGAGTAAATCCTAGGTTTTGATAATTATGAAGTTTTAGTCCAGTGATCACTTTTATTTCTGCTCGTTGTAGTTAGCCATTGTGAAAGCTGTGAAACTGGCTACCCTCCATGGAAGGTGGTTTCAGACATGGTCTGTTCCTTAAATAAACGATTCTGGATGACGATCAAGTCGACATTTAAGACTGAGCTGCTTTTCTACAAGGAGAAGAAGGCAGACAAAGCGGCGGGCAGAAAAAGAAGTGAGAATTCCAACAAGGAGAGTGTCATGAAGGATACTGTTGGTGTATTCGGTAAGCCAGAAAAGTTTCTAAATGGTAAAAGTTCACTAGTAACCGACCAAATCCAGAGGTTGACTTGGAGGCCTTCACTTTAGCAGGAGGTCTGTTCCGCAACTGAGAGAGTGTGACGGTGAAGAAGTTTGCATGCAAGCAGGATTTAAAAGGTTCCATTGTGACACCGTGGGCGTGGCTGCACAGGTAGTACCAGCTGTTGCGTTTCAACGGAAACTCACCGCTGGCTGT